TGGTAATTCTACGCGTAGGAATCTAACGCGTGGAAATTTAACGCGTAGTTAACCAACGCGTAGTAATGCAACGTGTGGTAATTCTATGCGTACTAATGCAACGTGTGGTAATTTAACGCGTAGCAATCAGAGCGCGAGGATTACGCGCGCTCAGCCACTAGGCTCGAAGCTGTCGCTCTCGCGTCTGCGCATGCGTAATCCTCGCGTTCTGATTGGTCCGTGTTTTTCCTTAATAATTCAAAAACGAAGTTTCAAAACCCATTCTTGCAAAGGGAAATTTTATTCAGAATCACGTCAGCTACCACCCATTTCCGGGACCTACACTAGTTGTGAGACACCCTGTATAGCGGGCTTAAACTTGTATAACTTGTTTTTGCGGACTCCGTCCATAACTAAATTTTTACTAATTATTGTTTAGTTAATAACTAGTTAAGTAATAACAAATATAAAGTCTTGAGTTTGTAGAGATATTTGAATGGAAGCAAAAATTTAGGGATGTAAAGTTGTTAAAATTGTTTTGCAGATCATAGTCCAAGAATCCATAATTTAAACAATTATGTTAGTTCTAATTCTATAAAAGAGTAATTAAAAATGTAAAATATAGTTCCTATATAAGATTTAAAAAATTACTTGTAATTCTTTAATAAGTTAAACAGTTAAAAATAGATGTCTATAATTAATGATTAATGAGATTAAAATTAATTCTTGTATGAATAGCCTGAACGTGTAATTTAAGGAATTGTCGCACCATTTGGCCTGGTAATTTCTTTCTTAATTTTCCAATAATAGTTCGTGGAGATTGGATAATAAAAATGAAAAAAAAATCGATATTAATCAAACCAGCTTTTAATATTACGTCGATAATATGAAGGGATTAAGAAATTACGTTAAAATTAATTTGAAAAGGCACGACCGTAATAGAGAAATATTATATGTGAAAAGAAAATAAAAGGTTAATAACAATGAAAAGCCAATAATAGCAATTGCGATTTATTGTTACATCTGTGTGTAATGCAATCAATTTGATACTACCGATATTTCTTTTTCGTATAAAATTTTTATGGAAAAAACGTAATAGCTTTTCACGTGAGAGTATAAGCAGTAAAATCGGGGATCTTTGTATACATATACAAAATTGCGTGTGATATTATTAAAAAAATTAACTTTTTTAATATTTGACTTTGTTAATTTTGTACTAACTTGTGTTAATTTATATCGTTACAACTTCAGTTTAAAAATAACACATTAATTTTGTGACTAAGCGAAAGTCAAATAAGTGAGCTAAAAATGTTTAAGAAAACAAAGACTTTTAGTATCATTTACCATGTAGATACTAACTAAAATAAATATATTAATAAATTTGATTATCAAATTTCAAAAAAGTAAAATAAAATCAAATAAATTTTTCAATTTTAAAAATAAAGTTATGTCAAACAATTCCATCTTTACATGTACAATAGTACGAAAATAATATTAAATTATATAACATTATAAACATATTAATTTTAGTGGATTCCAAAAAGTGCAAACTTCTGATCACGTTGCAATTATAACTAAAGTTCACCCTTGGTGAAAAAAGAAAGTCCCTAAAAAGACTTTTTGGCTAAAGTGTTTAATTTATTTGCCAGTTCCCTTCAAAGTTTTTTACAGTTTTTGCTAAATATATCCGAAAATATAGATTTCCGAGAAAAAAGTTTCAAACGAAAAATGAAGCTCATAAAAAGTTCTACAAAGAAGGTTATATACATTTTTGACGTAAACATATTATTTTGTCTGTTATGACATAAAATAACTCGGGAATTAAATTGGCTTTGCTCAGGGCACTCTGTTGATGGGCGAGTACGGTAGAGAGATGAAGGCCCCTTTGCACTCCTGTGTATGTTTATCCTCTATACCACGTATTCTCTATACTATTTTTTACGTTAAATTTTTTACGAGATACATAACAAAAACTTTAAAATTTGTATGAAAAAATACTTTTTTTCTTCATGATAGTCAAAATAATAGGTTTACATAAAAAATGTATAGAACATTTTTTGTAGAACTTTTTGAGAACTTCATTTTTTGTTTAAAACTTTTTTCTCTAAAATCAATATTTGCGGAGGTATTTAAGAAACACTGGGCTGTGTGATGGGCTGTGAGTAAACGAGGCTTTGTCGTCAAAACTTGTAGGGTCTTTCTTCTATAATCAAGTGCAAACTTTGTTTAAAATTTCATTGTGATCGTTTTGCTCTTTTTGGAACTGTATCCATTTTAAATAATTAATACATGTTTATATTGCATCTTAACAAAAAATGGTTACTAACTAGTAAATATGTTAATAACGTTCTTCTAATAAAATAATAACAGATGGATTTACACTGGATCCTAGAAACGTTACAGTCGCTGGCCATTGAATTAGAACCACGTACTAAAATTTCACCTTTATAGTTATAACATTATGTCATATACGGAAAATTGTCTCAGGTCATGCAAAATTATTACTAAATACGTTGATAACTACTATCGTGATAAATTGTGTAGCTGATGAACGATTAAGGGTCGTGCATGTACATTAGGCTCAAGTATCGACATGCGTCAGGTGAAATTTGGTGAATACCATAGAAAATGTCTGGAGCCTAAAAGACTAGTTTACAATTCTCCAACCACATTGAGTCGAAAAGAATTATATTTGGGGAAAATAATGAAGATATAAAGCATATGATCAATGTATACGCAGCATGCCACAAGCTGTGACCGAAGCAAAGGAAATACAAGATATTAACATGCGTTAATGTTATGTACAGTAGTATCATGGTAGCTAATAAATTATATAATTACAATCTGAACAGGCCTTTTAATTTTACGGAAAATATGTGAACATAAACATGGCTGCGACGTAACGTAACAAAGTCGTCCATGTTGTTCCACGCGGCCATTTTGTGTACCATAGTCGTTGGACCTAATTCTTTATATAATTTTACGGAAACGTGAAAAATGCTGAGTGGTCCTAATTCGATAGCCAGGACTGTAAAATTTTGTCTAGTGACAAACGTGACCTTGCAGATAATTCATGCTTGTTATTAGAATATCCCTTCACCTGATAAATACGCAACCGCTACCTTCGGAAGGGCTGGTCCAGGCGACAGAAACTTCTTCTTTGGGCACTTTAGAGGTCTCCACGACCGCATTTGGACAAACTTCCGAGTACCTCGTCAGCGACTCATCCTGAAGATCGAAAACGCCACTGTCCATTGACTCGCCTTCGCTTTCAGCCTCGCTGGATATCAAAAACCTGACGAATTTTCGTGGAATGATGCCGATTGTGTCAGCCTGCACGGTTACTGAAACACAAATTTACATTCCACTTTTTCTTTGTGTGTATTTCAATATTAGCTTAATATTTATATTGGTTTGAATTAAATAGATATTACTGATATCGATTATGGATATTAATACTGATATTGATTATAGGTATTAATTTTGATATTAATTGAATGCATATTAATATTAAGATTGACTTTAGATGTTCATATTGATATTGATATTAACTCTTACCACCCCTCTGTATTTGCAAATTTTAAAAATATGAAAATTTGAGGATTTGAAAGTTTGCTAAATTGCGAATTTGAGAATTTGGTAATTTGAGGATTTGATGATTTAAGTATTTAAAAATTTAAAAATATGAAACTTTGAGGATTTGAAAACTTGTCAAATTGCAAATTTGAGAATTTGGTAATTTGAGGATTTGGAGATTCGAATATTTAATCATTTGAGGCTCTGACAATTTAGTGATTTGAGTGTTTAAAAATTCGACAATGTAAAGATATACAAATTTAAGAATTTGAAAATTTCCCAATCTGCCAATTTACAATTTCCCAAATTTGATAATTTAAAAATTCGAAAATTTGCACTAAAATTCAATAAATTCAATAAAAAAACACAGTACATATTCTTAAAATCCTTTCCACTTTAATCCACCGCAAACGAAAGTATAATTAAAATCGGCGTTATGGAAATGCCGGTGCATATATGTAGATTAAATTTTCATGAGCAATTTGTTGGAATCATATAATACGTCTGTGAAACGCAAATCGATGTCTGTATTATTGAAAAATTGAAAAACACCAATCACACACTTTCGTTATCCGCATTGACTATGTTAATTGAGCATACGTGCAATTCCGCCATCAAAGTACATAAATTACACTTCGAGAGTATCATTTTATTACGCGCGTTTCAACAGCATCCTATTGTCGGATTACACATGGATTTGTTATTGGAACGTTAAAATGTTTCCCACTCATAAATTTTCTGCACAAAACGTGCCCGAAATTTTTGGAACTCGCTGCTGTTTCGTAAAGTACACCATTGTCGTTCGTGCACATTGTTTTCGTTTCATTTCCGGATCGGAGAAAAATTGAAGTTAACAAATTGGCGAGAATTTTGATGTTTAAATTGAATTTACGTGCACGTTTTCTATATGGAGGGAATATTCGTGTGCCTGAAATAGAAATATAGAGGCTCGTTGCTCTCTGGCCCGCTATTTATATAACTTCGATTAAACACGGTATACCGTGAATCTGGCGAAGGATGCAGGTAAACACAATTTTTATCTCATGGTTTTCAAAAAATTGTTTCCGCTTGAAATAGTTTGCAAATGTCCTAATATTCTAATTGACATTTTTTTCTTGAAGTTTATTGAAATTCCTGTTTCTGTTTTTTCATACAAATATTTCGGGAAAATGAAAAAGCTATGTTGTTATTAAAAATATTTTATACTTTTAACATTTCTGATGTCTCTGTTGGAAACAATTTTTATTTAAAATATATTTGATATTAATAATATTTACTATTTAAAATGTTTAATGTTTTCTCTGTTTTTGCTGAAGACATTTTCTGTTTAAAATATGTCTAATAATTCAATTCATATTTTTTATATACCTCGTATGTCTAATATTTTCTATCAAAAAATTTTCATATTTCTAATTTGAGAGAAAATTGTAATAATAGAGAAATTTTTAATATCCCGGAAACTCAAAATTTTTACAAAAAGAATATCCTTAAAATTATAACAAAAAGTATCGTAAATTTTCAAAGTTTCATAAATGCAAATTCGCGCCATTTTTGAATGAAAAATTACGTAATCAAGTATGTATAGTGTTTGCGCAATTAAATACCCTTGTTTCGATAACTACTACACCCAGTTACATTTTTGAACATCTATACACGAATTGTAGCTTCCCTTCCAGTCGATTTTGCTTCAACTATAGTGCGTGTACAACATGGACGTAACACGCAGATGTTTAGAGAATTTATGGCTTCCAGTATTACGGGTCTTCGCAAACTGCGACTACTTCGAATGTTTAAACGTCTATGACAAATATTCCTCGTAAAAAGCTGAACTCGTAGTTGTTTAATCGCCCTTTCCATTGTGGCTTATTTATTGTTGATCGATGGCCAACAAAAAAATTGTACGGAACAAAGTAAATTTACAGTGCGGCGTGATTTATCTGCGCGGGAGTGGAACGTTTTCGGGCTTCAATTTTCTCTTGTAAGACAAAATATGTATTTCGTAATTTGGAAGTTTACTAATTATTATTATTATTATATTATTGTACTGTTACATTATACTACATTAGTGCACTATACTGTAGTATTATATATAATACCATTTTGCGATATTTAGCAATGTTTAATAATATTATTATTATTAATATACTACTATATTATACTGCACTATTATATCTAATACTGTTTTACAATGTTTAATCATTTTTAATATTAATATTATTATTAATAGACTATTATACTGTATTGTATGGTTTTATGTAATACCATTTTACAATATTTAATAATTTTAAACAATAATATCATTATACATATATTATTATGCTATACTGTACTGTTATATACAATACTATTTTACAATATTTAATAATGTTTAATAATATCATTATTAATAATATACTACTATACTATATTGTACTATTATACAATATTATACTATTTTACAATATTTAATAATTTTTAATATTAATATTATTAGTAATAGACTATTATACTGTATTGTATGGTTTTATGTAATACTATTTTACAATATTTAATAATCTTTAATAATAATATTATTATTCATATAATATTATACCATACTGTTCTGTTTATACAATACTATTTTACAATATTTAATAATGTTTAATAATATTATTATTAATAATATACTATACTATTGTGTATAACGTCATTTTAAATATTTAATAATATTATAACTATAATAAGTATAATATTTAAACTATATTGCAATTATTATACATATACATAATACTTAGTTGGCTATTTACATCTTTTAATTAAAATATACAAATATAAAATGACATACAATACATTGAATAAATACAAAATACTATAAATGTATATTTTGTTAAAATTTTGTTATTTTAGTTAAGATATAAACTGCACATTTGACTTCAATTAAAATATACAATTCACAATTTACATCCTTCAGATAAAGTACACAATATACAATTACAAAATATTATGAATATACATACTTCAGTGAAAATATATAAATTATTTAATTTTAGTTAAAATATATAATGATCCTTGAAATAAAATATACAATATACAAAGTATGGTATTAAAGTATTTAGCAGAAATGAAATTATGCAGCATGCACATTTGAAATTTGTGTACATGGAAATATGGGAATTCGGGGATATTGACATAAGTGGTTGCTCTCAACACAGACATAGGCTCGTTGTCACAGCCTTAATCTGATTATGCCCGTCTGCCACAAACAATAATAACGAGTCAGGTCTGGGTTAGGTCTGGGTTAGGTCTAGGTTACACACTTTTAACCATCATATACTGCGATTTTCAATGCTTTAGAAACTCTCTATTCAAGAATCTTTGTTAAAATTATGGATATGCAAAAGATTTACTAAGTTATAACATATGAAATTTTTCATTAATTTTCATTTATTAGTATTAAAAATACTAATTAAAAGTATTACAATGTTACAACTTAAATTATATTACATTATGTTGTAACTTAAAAGTACTTTAATTAGATTCTTCATATTAAACTTAGTTCACATTTAATCTCCGTTATGTGTTGTAAAATAAACGTATTTTTAACGTTAATTACAGTGTAATTAACTACTCTTTGCACTTTCAGTACACAAGAATTTTTGGATGCATAAATATTTTTGAAGTGTGTATAAAAAATTGAAAATTTTTACATCCCTGTACACAGACTAAAAATTTTTCCATATGATCGAATTATTAATTCTTACAAAAATAATTACGGCTACTATTTTAAACTTAGACATTTCTGAACAAACTTTTATTTAATACTAGTTTAATATGATACATCACTTCGAAGTATAAAATTCATATTCCTAAAAGGATGCATCATTCTAAAGTATAAAATTCTTTCTACTAAAACGATGCATCATTTTAAAGTACAACATTCATTGTACTAAAACAATGCATCATTTTAAAATATAGAACTCATTCTACTAATTTATTTCTACTAATAATTTACTTTCACTTATTCATTTGAAAACTACAATAACAATTGTATATTTCAGTTTATTATAATCGAACTAATATGCAAAACGTGCTGAAACAAAACTGATAACACTTTTTAGTTCAGCTAAACTTTTATTTATAACTTCACAAGTTTGTTAAATTTTTATTTAAGAATTTTAATGTTTCTTTAAAATTGGATCTTCAAATTAGATCTTCAAAACTGGTATTTAAAATTTTCAGGATTATTTACTTCCTCTCATAAGTATGGCTACATCTAATGAAGTCTCAAAATGGCGGAGCACCTCTCGTATTTCGCTGTAACATTTTAATCCTTAAAAAAGGAGAAGTATTCGAGGAAGTCCAACCGAAAACCTAAGTGGCATAATGTAACAATTTATACAAAGTATAGCATAATTTAACAATCTGTAAGAATTATAGTATATTTTAATAATTTGTACAAAAAGGATACAATGTAAATAAAAACTGGATTCTTAAAGGAACCCTATTTTAAAATGCACTTACAAGCACAAGTATCAAATGTAAGAAAAAATAAAATAAAAGATTCATCGAAAATTCGAAATTAATGTACCAGTCAACAGCTTACATAAATTACAAGAAAATGAAACATTACACTGCAGTTATTCTGTTTTCGATTATCGAATACGTGAGTTATAACTCAGTGCCAAGGGATGTTGGCTAAGTGAATTTCAACGTGAATGAAAACTGTGGACCAATTCAGGATGTAGTTCAAATTAGGGAACTTTCGTCTAATTGGTTTTATCCAGATGAGCAGTGAAAATAATTTGATAAGCATTAGGAGACTTACG